TCGGGGGAAGCGGAGGGAGGGAGAGGGCCGCGGATTTGCCCCGGGTCGCACCAGGAGCTGGGGCAAGCCGGGGTGGGGGGAATCTTTGCGCTTTTTGTGTGTGTGGTTTTTGTTTGTTCGTTTGTTTTTACCACAAGACGAGCTATTCCAGCAGCATAAAGTACTTGGTGCTAGTTATACTGAATGTTACTGTATGGAACGCCTAGTCCAAGAATAGCGGTGGGTTTTCGTTTCCTTCTGTTTACTGTAGCGCGCTTCACCGAAGATGCTTGTGTGATACCCACTTAAATTCTCCTTCCTTTCGTCCCGTTGTGGTTATCTAAGTAGGATGCTTTTGAAGTTGGAGAAAACAGAAAAGGCGTTTGCCCGCGAGTAGGCATATTCGCATGGGGACTTACCCTGAGGAGAGACTGACAGTTAAATTCACGTACTCTCTAGTGTGGAATAATCCTCCCCTGTACGCAGATCCCAAGGCTGTTCCTCACCGAAAGGTGTGGGATGAGCTTTATGCGCTAGCTATCCACTTGTAAAAGCCTAGTGAGAAATGTTCTTTTGGCATAGCATGAGGCCCTGATGATTGCAGGCAGGCGAGCATATTCTGTCTTTATCTTGTGATAAGACTTCAAGAGACTTTTTTCCACAGAGTTATATAGCAAGATAGCAAATCCACAGCAATTATCTCATGATAGTAAGTCATTTACTTTCTTAGTTATCTATGAAGATAAAACTTAAATTTCCCAACTCCCACACAGATATTTGCAATATCTCAGTCACGTTGGTTGGCTTTTGGAAAGACCGTTCAAAGGGGGAGGGAGGGAACCGTCATGTTCCTTCTGTTTTCCTTGCAGATATCACCGTAGGACCTGTTTTCCGCAGCTTTCCTCGTTTCACTTCCCTCGTGCGCTCAACTGGTCAGCAGCATGCCTTCTACGGGGGACACCTCAAAACTTTTCATGGTCCTCATTTTGTTGCTGCTTGTTCTGCCAGCGGTTGAAGCCATGGACGCTGGAGATACAATTGCCTTCCTGCTGGGCCTCGCTGTCAGCATTGTTGGATTCTGTGCCTGTCTTGGCTTGTATGCAAGGAAAAGAAATGGACAGCAATGATTTCTAGAAGATGCGCAAATTAAGTGTAACTCAAAACTCTGCTAGGGTTGAGATATGGGGTTTAAAACTGAGCTTTGGTTTTGGATAACTTTCAAAAATGTGGAGTAGATAATTCTGCAAAGCCCTCTTACTGTGCAATACAACAGAATAAAGGCTGTTTGCCCAGTAAAAGGGATTTGTAGGATCCGTCCTCATGACAGTAGGATGATTTCATATTGCCTGTGATTAATTGTAAGTAAGAACTTTTTGAAAGGGGAAGGAAAATCATAGACTGGTTCACAGCAAATGTTTATAAATGGAATGTGTGAGGGAGCCCGTGCAACAAGTTCCACAATTTTGGTTTCAGGGTCAGTCAGGAGGAAGCAACTATTAATCTTCCAATCAGGATGACAAGGCTTTGGAGTACTGAAGTACTTACAATTAGATAAGTAAAGAGCATGCTGCTCAGACCTGTTTGTGTGTGCTCACATTCTTTGTAATGACAGTTAGAACAAACCGCTAACAGCTCACTCTTGGTGTTACAGGGATGAGACTTGGGAGAACTAAGAAAACATGGAAAGCTTTTTACTTTGGTATTTTTATTTTAGAATGTGCCTCTTCTGTAGCCTCTGTTCTTGTTACAAAATAGTTGCACTTAAGAATGGGACCGTGATTTTCCTTTAACATGTATTGCATAGGAGAGTATATGTAAAACTACATAAATCAAAAGAGGAAGGCATTTTATCTCTTTTGTTTATTTTCTGTATTCAACTTTCATATAAGCACACGAGGTCTAAGGGTTAGTTCATTTGGTGTTTTTTGGTTTTTTTTCTCAAAACTGAAGACTTAGCTATTTTACTAAGGTATTATGTGTGTTATTTCTGCAGTAGGGGGTTATTAGAATTATAACAAGGCAGTTATGCACATGTTCAATATGGTAAATAAATAAAACAACTTGTTTGGGTAAAATCCTGATTTTAGTGAAGAGGTCCCTGGTACTTGAATGTCTTCCTCATGACAAACTTAAGTTGTTAACTACATTTAGGCTTCTTATCTAATTGATATGTCTGAGTTCCATGGAAGATTAGGACCAAAGACAAAGTAAAAAATCATGATGCAAAATGGGAGGCTCTTAATAGCCTTGTTATATTCATGCTCAGTCAGATTGTCTGGCATGAGCTGATTTTGATTTTATGCTATGTGGTTGAAAGGATCTGCCTACTTAGTAGCATGTCCAGGACCTGCTTCTTTTAGCACCAAAGGGGAAATGGCACAGCCAAGAGTGTCTGTCTACCACAAATCCTTCTGACTTCTTGGGGTGTTCTAGCTGTCAGTTTGATAAAAGGATCACAGTCTGTAAAAGCAAGTAAGTAGCAGCAGCAGAATAAGGAGCCTAGGAAAGTAAGCTCTCCACAGTCCACAGAATTTCCTTCTGATCTTGTGCTGTGGGCACTGCACACTCATGCTAGAAATCTTCACTTTTATAAGTTTCAGAGCTGGGGAAGAAGGTTAGATATGATGCCAAATAATGTATTTTGATACTATTTCCCCCCACCCTTTTCCCTAAGCGTCTCGGTCATTAGAGCGCAAAGCAATGGCTGAAACTCTTGTCCAGTAGGTCTTAAATAAGTAATTGGGGGGGAGGGAGGAGATTGTATTTGGACTTCCTCAAATTCTAAGATTTCTGTCTGTCATTTGTAGCTGTTTTGGCTTCTCCCTCCATCTTCTGGGGAGACAGAAGCCATGGTTGTTTCAGCTCTGCAATTTCTCTAAATTACCATGGCTGATGGAGGAAGGTAAATGGAGAGCTTCCAAAATGTTGTGCGGTTGAAAGTGCAGGGCTCAACCCATTTCCATAAGAATGTAGGTTGTGCTTCTCTGTTCCTGCTTCTCGAGCTGTAGGAAGTATAGAGGTCCCATGTTAGCCTTGCCAGGTAGCTGTCTGGAACCTTTTTGTGGCTTCCCCAAGCCAGAACAGGACAGTTGTTATAGTGACAGAAATTTACAGCCCTAAAAGGAGCTTCAAAGGGTAGGAGAATGTCTCACCTTCAAAGGTTGCCCAGCAGCTATAGGTGAATCTAGATGTGATTATTCTACGGGATGGATGCAAGCATTGAATGAAGAGAAGTACATATCGAGTATGGCTTTCCATCACCTGACCTTCTCAGCTCTTCTCAAACATCTTTATCTTCACTTTGGAAAAGATCCCTGGTAATAGTTGCACAGAATTGTGCAATGGCTTCACCCTATAAAGCAGGAGAACAAAACCTTATCACCCTAATTAGTGTCAAGCTATAGGGATGTCAGCTGTGTTCCTTGCCTGAAGCTGTATATATCTTATTGAAAGGTGTTTGCACCCCATAACGGTGTGTTTCCTGGGTTCTGACAGAAGTGATTGTATTGTTAAAGGCTTACATTTTTTGATAACTAAAAAGAAGTGTAACATTAGATATCCCTGTTTTTCTTCTGTTTTAATAAATTTCCATGTGTTTTGTCATCAGTTTAATGAAGTAGTTCTTATGAAAATAGGGATGAGAGAAATGGCTGAAACTGCTGAATTCTTTATATTAAATATTATTTTGTTCTTTAGCTTATAGTAGGTGACTTTACAAACTAATGTGGTATAAGATATATCTTCAGTTGACCTTTTGTACTGAGAATGTATTTCTCTTTGTCCTATTACTTTTATATATAAAAATTGTCTCATTTCCATATCAGTTACTCTAGAGCACTTTAAAGGAGCTGGTCCTCTTCCTTTTAAATTGACTAGCGTTCAATTGCAAAGCCCGTTCTTCTGGTACAAGGGAGACTCAAGGTATTTCCTTTTTCCTTTAGACTGTGAATTTTCAACGTTATGATTATGTAGTTGCCTTTGTAGCACAAAAGTCATTCATGGCAATTTTCTGGTTGGAGACCTAAGGAGATAAAGGACCATTTTCATTTAAAAATATATTATATATGTGTATATATATGCAGTTACTTGAATGATACTTGAATGATAGTTTTTTTAGACTTCAAAAGAGCTTGTTTTATCTTTCTATTTTATGGAAACGGAGTTCTGGTTTCTTTTGGGACTCAGCTCAGTGCACAAAGTCATTGACTTTGTGCACTAAACTAGTATCATTAGTGGCTGTCTTCAGAGCAGAAAGCAAAACCAGCCTTAACAAACACAATCTACCCTCTAATTAATGTAAGAAAGTTTTAAGTCAGGAGTTAGTCTTTTTGCTCTTATGATTTCCATCTGCTTTAACAACAGTGTAGCTCAAAATCAGCCATCCTACAAACAACAATCAACATACAGTCCATTTGGGAATGGACAGGACAGAAGTCTTTTACTGCTCATTGCGCAACTTCAAGCACTACAAAACAGCCAGTCTTTGCCATTCTGCCACGAGCAACACTACCTGGGAATGGCATGCAAACCCTTCACTTAGCTGCTAAGACACTTGCCTCTCTTGATGTTTTAAAATTGATAAATCACTGCTGTGAACCCTTTCTCCCACTCTGATAAATGCTGCTGCTGGTGATGCCACTTTAATACTCCAGTGAGACTCAGCAGTTCTGCAGCATCTTGCATCTGAAAGCCCTAAGGTGGTAGCATGTGGTATCTCCAGGATGCTCACAGAGATTTCTGGAGTCTCTTGTGGTTACAGCTCTCAAGCTACATGCCCCCACCCCAGGAGATACCCATGGACAAGCCCAGGGCTCTGTGTACCCACCAGATGCTGTCTGAAGCCTTGATTCCTGTTTTTTGCAAAAAGCTGTTTACATAGGCTTTGTGAGGAAGGGAGTAGGGAGTTGAGTTCACTGTTTATAATAAGATAAAACATGACTAAATGGAAGAACCGTAATAGGTCTGTTACCATGGTACAGGCTCTAACTGTTATACTACAAAAGTAACCTTTCCGTTCATTTCATATCTGATGAAAGGCTTGGCAGATCTAAGCTGTTGTAATGACAGGGGATTGTAAGGAGTGGTAGAAAGGAGAGATTGGATCTAGTTGTCCTCCCAATTTTCACATGAACCAGTTGTTAGTAAATGATCTGAAGTTAACAGAAAGTGAAGTTGTTCACCAAACTAGAAAAATAAGACCGCTAATTGAGAACCCAATCCAGCAACACATGTAGACGCAGAGTTTAGGTGACTAAAGATACACAGCACTGAAAGCACTTAATTCCCAGTGCAATCAATCTTCAGAACTTTTAAGGGACAAATTTTTAATGTGCTAAATACTGACTGACAACAAATGCACTGGTAAATTATTGAAGAGTGTAAATGGTCTTAAAATTATGAAGATTTTCAGTTCATGTGAATAGGCAATTGCAGCTAAATATTACATTTCCAATATTCAGAAAGCACACTAATGTGTAGTGCTTTTCCAAAAGGCAAATTAGGAAAACAAGCAGTGATAGACCTCCTAAATTTAATTTACATACAAAGCTAAACCTATTTTAGACTAAAAAAATGAAAGACCAATAAAATTACATAGATATTCAAAACATTACCAGATGTTCTGCTGGTCTCCTCAGCTCAGTTTCTCCTTAATGAAACTTGAAAATACGTGGGAGGCTCTATCAAATTAAGGCGCAGGCACAACTGGCAGTTAGCATGTCCTTTTGTTTCTGGATCATTCATTTGTTTTCATCATTCACCTAGATTTTCATGGGGGGCGGGGGGAAGGAAGAACACACAAAGGCTGCCCTTTAGAGTGCAAAGCAAAGCAAACAGTGCAAGTGAAGGCCTGTAAGTGAAGTGGCCCCTAACAGTACCATGAGTTGCGATATTAGGGAGGCAGGGTTGGGGTAAAGTTTGCTCTACTTCAGGCTTACTGTGTTGTCTGCATTCCTCCTCACTAGTCTTTGTCTTGGACATTTTAATTGGAAACGTTATGAGCTGCTTTCCCAGCTGCCATTTACTCAAGGCACTAAAATGAGCGTACACATCTTTATATTCTTGTCCTGCATTTTGCAGGTGCAAGAGCTTGAGAATTACCTTTTCTTTCCGAATGGAGTCAAAATTCTGCAGAGCAATATGGTTGTGTAAAACTTACTGGACGCTCTGTCTTTTTCTTCTGTTCTGTTTGCACAGCACTTTGCACACATGGCCATGATATAAAGAATAAATAATACTACTAAGAGCATCTCTCCACCCTATCCTCTCAGAAAAGAAGCAGTCATAAAATATGACCAGTTTTAATCCTGGCACAAACTAAAGTGAAGAAAAGTTGTCACTTTTATCCAAATATGTTTACTTTCTATTCCATGAATTACCTGTGAAACCAGAATCTAGTACTTCTAGAATCTATTCAAAAGGTCTGGAGGATCAGCAGAAGCCATTTTGAGTCATTTTTCTTCGAAAGCAGGTACTTATTTCAGTGTCTGCATGAATAGCAGGGAACAATTATGCCAATTTAATGTTTGATCTTTTAAGAAAGGCCTTTTGTGGTCAGCTTCCAAAAGTCTATCTGGTATTCTGAGACAGTTTATAGTCTATAGATGGACAATTGTGTCTACCAAAAATCTTTTTCATGAAAAGAACTATCTGAATGGGACTTACACAAATCACTTTTTGTTTTCTCATAGGAGTTAAAGAAGTTGATCATATATTCAGAGCAGTTGCCAATAGGAAACCAGTATTCAGCAGTAAATGTTACACAGTAATGTTTTTCTTCCTATTGTATTTGCAGAGAGAAAACATAAATTCCAAAAACTGTAACATTAAAAAAAGGAAAAAGTGCTTTTCAAAATCAAGTTAGTGCTATCTGGTAATGACTGTGTCTCAGTGAAAAACCCAGTGAAGTCAGCTAGAAAAATTGGCTTAAAATCAAATCAAGCTCTCTTTTTTCAAAAGAGCAGCCAAACTGTGTCTTTTGAACACCATTAGTTAGGACCACTTCCCGTGCCAGGGTTACAGAAGCAAGCTGTCCTGATGCAGGGGATGCTGGATAATCTGAAATCCTGTCTGAGAAGTGAGCCATAGCCAGGTCTCCCTGGGCTCCAATGGCACGTCTAGGCCGATGCTGCCCTCTCCCTCCAAGGCACCATCTCCTGCTGTGACAAAAGCTGGGTTATCAGGATTTTGTTTAGACATGCTCAGGGATAGCTGTGCAGCTTATAAGCAGTTTGACCACCTCTGTCTTTCTTCCATGCCAGATTTCAGTTTTGGGGTATTAGAATTTTATGTTACACTTCTTTTTTTTTAACGTAAATAATTACTGGAAATATGGAATTTATGTGGGCTGGGTGTGTACTCGGGGATTTGAAAGTAGAAAAGCAGAGGTCACTCTGTCAGAGCTCAAGCATGGCTGAAAGGATATTTGTAAATTGTCCATCCACAAAAGGGGGGAAAAAATCATCTTTGGGAAAATATCAAGCCAGAAAATGGACTAGATGACCTCCAAAGGTCCCTTACAATCTAATTTACTCTGCAGTTCTATGAAATCCTAATTGTAAATGGTGATGCATAAGCAGCAACTCAATTCACTTGTATCTTTATGGTAAACAAGGATATATTTGTGGTGAACAAATCTAATCACAGTGTGAGCCCATAGGGAACCTGACTGCCAGAGCTGTGAGGCTGTTCAGTCATCATGTAAGACCACAGGGAAACCAGATGTACCAGGATTCTCCCACTGCGTCTAGTGAAACTCAATCCCTGAGGCATTAAAAGGTTATGGAAAAAAGGGAGCAAATACAGCATATGTACAGTAATCCTCTTTTTATGCTGGGATTTTTAAAGAGGGGCTTATGGGGCTAGTACTGTACTCCAAATGGAATTCAGTGCTTCAGTTCAAAGCCCTAAATGCTCATTATCTCAACTCCTGACAAAGCTGATGTTTTGAAAATATTAAGGTTTGACAGCCTGAATGGAAGACTGTGTTGCACAGAGTTCCCATTGACATCAGTGGGAATTCTGGACAAGATCAAAGATAGAATACAGGGTTGGATACAATAGGCTTGCTGATGGTATGGAGGGATCCCTGTCATTGCACCAGTAATGCACCTAGCACCAGGTGGAGCTCATGGGGAAACTACAGGGTTCATCCCCATCTCTTTCCTTAGGAAAATATTGACTCAGTTATTTATTTGAATAACTGAATGCTAAATTTTCATCTGGGTAAAAAACAGCATGCAGTTGCTGAAGTCAGTGCAGTCATCCTAATTTAAATTCATTTTGAACAGAAATCACAAGAGGCTTCATTCTGACCTTGCACCAGCCCTTACACTTCTGTGTAATACAGTCAACTTATTCTCAGTTTCCATTTATGTGAAAATATAAATTGCTTCTTAAAATAGATGCTGTCTTTTTTTCTCTCAATCTGCTACTAGTAAATTATTTGACCTACATCTCAATAAATATCAGAAAAAATGTTCTCCCCATTCCTACTCGACAAATACACTTCAGAACTTACATGTTCAGCTTTAACTCCATTTTTAACTCCTTGCAAGATTTATCAACTAAAGAAAAGGGAAAGAAAGCTCACTCTCAAGAACACTAAC